GGTTGGTTTTCTTGGTGCTGAGTTTTTCCATGTGTGGGTTATATTTCGTAAATCCATGGTGTTATTTCCCTTTGTGTGGGTCATATAATTGTCCTTATGGTTTGTATGCCCTTAAGGGTTGAATAATATCTCTCCACCCTTTGTCCATTATTGGTAAGTAAGGTGATTAAAAATCACATTTCCTTTTTTGCAAGTGGTTTCCTTATCATATGTAGTCCTTATATTTAACACGTTCTTTACTTGCTCCATTGTGTTCTAACATATGGTGGTCAACATGTTCTAAATGTAAGGAATTTTATAACTTTTGTCAACCTACACTACAACAAATAACATTTTTTATGAAGAAGCTTTCATCACGAATAATATAAAACTGAGGGTGTATGTAACGAGAGCGTCTTGTTTTACTTTAAAAAATAATCTGTTACCTAGGTTTTATGAAAAACCGACATAATATATGCTCATGGTTTGAGATTCGATTCCTAACTCCTGAAGTTTTATGTTTTATACGAAACCAAAAAGGAGCCTTTAATTTTTACAGATGTTACATCGGATATGTTACCTTGGTTTTCATTAAAATCGAGATACATACTCTCTAATTTTTTATTCTTTCTGGAACCAAAAAAACATCTTTATATTTTTTATTCCCTCAGCGTCTACCTCATTCGCTTCTCGAGCTCTAGTGAAAGAACACTTCTTCTCCAGCAAATAAAAGAACAATTATTCTCTAAGGAGCCATAGAAAAAGAAAAAACTCCCTCACCATTAATCTTCAGTATGTTAGTATTGTTCTTGTTATTCTTGTTATTGCTTTGGTCCATTACGGTTGTTCTTGTTATTCTCCATTACGGTTGCTTTATTTTTGTTGGTTGTGTACTATTTTTATTTATATTTTTCATTTTTTTCATTGATCAAAAGGAAAGATTACAAGATTCTTGGATTACATAATTTTGTTCACATCAAAGTAATACCCTCTAGCACTACATAAATCTTCTCAATCTACAACTCGCTCTTCACTACCCTCATCCGAGTCATAGTAAACAATCATCCTCGATAAAAAAATTTCAATCATTATAGTCGATTATCTCTTTTGTGAAGAGAAAAGGTTGTTCTTGTTTTTTTATTTATCATAATTCAATTTTTCCCACATATTTTTCAGTTACAAAGAGAGTAGTGCATCAGATCTTTGGAAATGGTCGTCATACATGCCTAAGTTTTTTATGTAACTGATCCTTTTAACACTAGATGGTCAATTGTTCTTCAAAGGTAAACATCTTCCAGATAGTACTAAAAAATAATAAAAATGTTGATGCAGGGAATTGAACCCACGACCTTTTAATTTATAACCTTGGTTTTATAATCAATGAGGTGACAAGTGCTTGCTTTTGATGTCGCCCTTCGTTACCTTGCCTGTGTTGTTGAGGTTAATTGCATTTCACAGCCGGCGTTAGATGTATTATTTGTAGTAGTGCTAAAAGAATGTATGTAAGAGTCTCTATAACATAATGCTTTTTTTATTTGCCTAAAAATTGGACAAAGAGATAATTTGTTATTACATTTAATTGTCAATATTTTGCAGGCAACATGTGAAACAATATGTTCTTACAAGACGTGAGACATTCTTTCTCAAGTGATTCATGGTGTTTTAATGGAAAGCAACTTGTTAAACCATATCCTTTATTATTATACAAGACATCTTGTCTCGAGCTATTTGCTTGGCGCTCAAGTTTGAATGGATTATGTTCCGTTCGGGAACCAGAAATGGATTTTCAAGCTCTGCAAAGGAACCATAAATGATGAAAGATGAATAACTACTAATCTTGAACGATGGCTTTGATCTCCGTTATGGTGGCACGGGGTGGACTTGCATGGTTAGCACTCAAATGCCCAAGATCAAGATTCAAGATGAATATAATGAAAGTGAAGATTAGAGGTTATGTACCTTATCATCGCATGTGAACTATTTTTATATTTGGTTCAAATATAGTAGGCTTGAGATGGATTAAGCCTTGGTCAATTGGGTCTTTGGCTAGTCTAAAAGAGTTTCCCTCAATGCTTTGTCGGGCACTGAAAGATTTAGGGTAAGCCTTAAGTATCATTGATCGGCCTCTGTGTCATAGTCTGGTGTAAAGTAGAATTGAATCGATTGAGATTAGTTTTGAAAAGTAGTGAGGGACAATCACACTTAATGAGGTTTTATCATTGAGATGTTTCGTCACCCACTCCTGACACATGAGATAACGTGACCAACTAAAGTGTGGTGTGGTTCATAGAATGCTCGAGTGCACTTGAATTTGAAGTGTTTCCATGAGTGGAAATCTAGTCGTTGGTCTCTTTACTTCTTTTATCAGTTGGTCTTTATTTTTCAGCTACTATAGTTTATAAATAGGGTGAGTCAAATATTTGGAAGTTTTTCGCAACCTTTTAGCTTTCAAGCTTTCAGTTGCATTTATAGAGAGATTTTTTTTCTGAGAATATTGCTTGGAGTGATTCAGATCTTTGCTTAAAGCTTTCATTTTTTCATTCCTCCTCATTCATCAATCTCTTTTAACCATGTACCATTCTAACTCAAGCTTTCCATTTCAACATTTCTTGATTTTAGTTAGGATGAGTGATACCACCGCTAGTTTGTGAGTGATTATGAAGTGGGAAATTCATTCAGGTCATCTCATGATTCTCATCATCTTTCTCATGATAGTGGTCATGTAGGGCCATAAATTATATCCATATATTGACGATTCTAGGTAAGAGAGGATGTTTAAGGCTTCTTTGGAGGAAGAAATTTTGGGCTGTTAGACGCCCTTAAAAAATGTAGGTATAGGAATAAATTGTGTTTGGGTCTTTATGACACCCTCTTATCTTGTCAGAAGAAGAAGTACGAGTCAATTTGAAAATGAGCGAACTTGACAAAGATTTCATTCAAGTTCTTCTGAGGGCCGAAGGTCGCGAGCCTAGCGACGCTGAGGTGCTGGAGTATTTGATCTAACATCGTCTGGTTGATCAAAATATGATTGGGTAGATGAAGAAATGGTTGGCACTTGCTCGACATTGAGCATTGAGGTCTCTCTGCGTGGTGCTGACATGGCGGTCGTGGTCGGTCCTTTCGGTGCCAGAGGAGAAAATGATCCGAAGTTCATTCGACGCCTGCATGGTCCCATTCCATGAGTATTTGTTTACAAGAATAGAACTCCGGCCTCCCTTTTCTGAATTTGAGCTAGCCGTCCTTAAACATTTAAAGATTTCCCCTTCCCAGCTTCATCCAGGGTCATGGGCATATGTGAGGGTCTTCCAACTGTGTTTTGAGCACAAGTCTTAAAAGCCTTTTATTAAATTATTCTTTGATCTTTTCCACTCGATGTGTACCTCCCTAGATAGCTTTCATAAAGAAGGGCTCATTTACTTTCATTCAGTCCATTAGTGGTTCGACCCCTTCACTCTAGATTGAGGTGATTTTTTTTGGACGTTTCACATTAGTAAAACTTCTCACTCCCACCACTCGCTTTGTTTTCTGCTAGCTTCCTGTTGATCCCTATCTCCCTTATCAGGTTTTATACCAAAAAATATTGGTCTAAGCTTCATTTTAACCGATCTATTTTCTCCTATTATACTAAAGCATGGTGACAATGAAGGAGGAAATGCAACCCTGGTTTCAAGGGCATGGCTATGAGGATGGGTTCGGCTCTGGCGAGGTGCCTTCTACTGATGTGAGGAAGAGGTGAAATAATACCCTTACTATCTTGAGTGCAATTAATCTTGAGGAGGGGGGGAAGATTTTTGGTTAGAGCAGAGTCTTTATGTTTTTCATTTAACATGTGTGATCGCGTTTTGCATATAGCATGGATAAAATAAGCAAGCTGAATATATTCTACAATCTTGCCAGAGCTCAAGATATTCAAACTATGGTTAATACTTGAACTTCTTCTTTCACCTCCATTCTTGCACTAGCCCCTTTTCTTAACTCGAATGTAGAAACTTTGACTCCCATACTCGAAGTGGATCATCTAACGGACGCCTCAAGTATTGATTGTGATTTCAATATAATGAAATATGTGTTTTCAATATCAATAACATAATTTAAACTTAAAATAATAATTTAAAATAAAATTTAATAAATATGACAATTACATATCATTATGTATTAAAATTTAAAATGGATTAAAATCCTAAGAACCTAAAAAAAAAATTCAAAAATCAAAGTTATATATATATATATATATAATAATAATAAATCTGCAACTAAGCCATAATTATATTTAAAATCGCACACTTACCTCTTAAACACAATAAACTTTTTGCACGAAAAATAATTTCTTTTAAGGAAAGATGAGAGGGAAAGAAAAAATTGAGGCTAATTTACAAATATTTTTTCTCCAAAATTCAAAGCAACATGCTAAAGTATCTTATTTTTTATTTTCTTTCTACAATTTTATAAATTTAATTAATATATATTAAACTAAATTTTTTTATTACACTATGAACAAACTACAACATTTAAATTAATAAAAATATTTAATTTTAAAGTTTTATGAATATACACTAAAAATATAAAATAATTTTATATTATCATCTAATAACAAATCAACAATTTTATGTGTCATTAAAATATTTTAAAATATAAACGCGATATAACATAATACATAATCGTTATTAATTGATAGTGTAAAATTAATTTATATTGATAGTACATCATTTATTTTCTCTTAATTTTAATATTAAATGATTTTAAAGGCAAAGATATGATTTTTTAAAATTATTTTTATTTTTATTTTTTTATAGTTTGCTAACCCAACTTTTTTTTTATCTTTTTATCCATATTCTCTCTCACACCAAACAATAACAAAATTCTTTCCACTGTCTCCTCTATTTCTTTCTTCCTCATTTCTCCTTAAACTTTCTCCTCTCAACCAAACAAAGTGTCACCATAGTGTTCATTCCTCCATTTCTTCCGCAATTTCATTTCTACATCATTCCAATTCCGAATCCACAAAAAGCGTGAAAGCTAAAATGCCCTCAGCTCAAGATCCATTTTACGTTGTCAAGGAAGATATTCAAGATTCTGTAAGTTGTTTATTTTCACCTTCATTTTGCAATTGTCTAAATCAAGTTCGCTTTTTTTCTTCAACATTCAACGATCCGTTTAATTTTGATAATTGATCTAATTATGCTGTTTTTGTTGATGCAACGTTTTGATTTTGAAGAAAACCTAGTTATGATATGTAATTATGAAATTGGGAATCGTGTTTTATTAAAAGGAAGTAATTTTTTTTATAATCATTGTTATTTGGGTGTGATTGATGTTTTTTTTCTTTTTTGTTGTGTGGAAAGATTGATAGGTTGCAATCTAATTTTTACCAATGGGAAAATACTTTAGATACTGGGGAGCATTTGAACCTTACAAAGGAAGTTCTTGCAGCTTGTGGAAGTATTGAGTGGCAGGTTTGTCTCTATTACTTGGTTAATGAGTTTTTGTTTCAGATTATAAAGCTGACACTCACACAGGTAATAATTTGAAAAATGAATAAATTAAACTTAATCACAAGTGTCGGTGTTGGTTTCGGACACGGACACACATTTTTTTTAGAGGTGTCGGTGCTACAAAAGTTTCAAATGAATTTTAGGTATTCCTTCTACATGGTATATAAATTGTTGTTATACGCACTTAAGGTATGCTGGGTTTGGAGTTTAATCTAGATCAAAGGGAGGAAGTGTATAACATTCCCCTTTTAGAAATTCTTTTTGTGGTATTTTTTACTTTAAGTGCGTATTTGATTATAACATGTATGCAAAGTATTTGATTATAACATGTATGTAATAGCTGATTGATATAAACGTTAAATGTAGTGATGCATATATGCAACAAAAAAAAAAGTTTATTGTAGTCTGGTGGAAATGTTGGAAGATAGAAAGTATCTTCCAACTCCTCTAACACACACTTTATCACACATGTTCAGTAATGCTAGTATTTGGGGCGGATCCTTATTCTTGCATATGGAATTTTCTGCTACGATACAATCTGTTCAACCTGCTAAAATATGTTAATTTTTCGATAGAAAGGTGGATGAATTGGACAAAGCAATTTCTGTAGCATCTAGAGATCCTTCTTGGTATGGCATTGATGAAAAGGAGATTGAAAATCGGAGGAGGTGGACGAGCAATGCTCGCACGCAGGTATCTAAAAACAGTGCCAAACTTCAGCAAGACTGAGGAATGCATTGTCAAAATCTTCTAAACCTAATCTACAGTTGTTCATTTAGTATATAAATCACACATTAGATTTCCTTGCCTTTATTTATCTGCATGATACACATGAATGAATTTGTTCACTAATAGGTGCTCACGGTTAAGAAAACAGTGGAAGCTAGAAAGGGATCAAATACAACAACTCATGCTAATATGAATGGTATGCACAGGGAGTTAATGAGGCAACCTGATTCTCATCAAAGCACATCCAAGTCCAACCAATATGCCGCTGGGAAGAATGATGATTTCATAGAATCAGAGTCAGATAGGCAAATGCTTCTTATAAAGTACCTTTTCTTCCCTTTCTTCATCTCTCTTTCATGTGCCTTTGAATTAAGTATTTGTCTTTTTTCCTACCTTGACTCTGTGCACATGTCCATGACCATGATATCAAACTCCAATTATGGACACTTTTCTGCATGAGATGGAAAATACTGTCGCTGTTGTTAGTTTGACCTCTTAAGCGGGATGCATTGTACTTTTCTTAAACACCATATCTGAGATCCTTTGTACTTGCATTAAATTGTGAAAATATGCACGGATGTTTCTTGTGCCACTCTGAGTCCACTAGTAAATTATATTAATTAATGTTGTTCTTCCTTGTTCAAATTTTACTGGTTTTTATAGGAGGCAAGATGAGGAGTTAGACGAGCTTAGTTTAAGCGTACAAAGAATCGGAGGTGTTGGGCTTACTATACATGAAGAGCTCCTAGGGCAGGTAGGTTTGAGATATTTATATTCTAATTTTTTTTTTTTGTTCAATAGAAGTTGTGCTGCAATTTTGTTGCTGTGAGAATTTTCTTTCTAAATAGTCAAAATCTTGATGCTTCAGGAAAAGATTCTAGATGAACTTGGCAATGAGATGGACAGTACATCCCATCGTCTTGATTTCGTCCAAGTGAGTTTCTGCTATCTGATTTTTGTTGCTGTTAATAAAAGCCTCAAATGTTGACATACTAAAGTTGAAGACTGTCTCTTTTGTTTATGATTTCAGAAAAGAGTAGCAATGGTGATGAAGAAGGCCAGTGTAAAGGGACAGATGATGATGTTATGTGGTTTGCTGGCTCTGTTCATTTTCCTTTTTATCTTGGTTTTCTTCACCTAGTCATTTCTGAATGCCTTGTTTGTACATGCAAAAGAAATATATAAGTTTGAGAAGATAAAAGATTCATGAGACAAATGGAAGCAGTTATAGTTTGTTGAAGGAAGTAGAGAATTTTGATTGTGATAAACAGGTTAGTAAGAGGAGTTTCATTTGATCATGTTGTTGGAATCTAACTATTAAAGAAGTTAAAAGCTTAAAGCTTAAAGCTTACTAGTATTTGTATGAAATTTGAATAAAAATGGTTTGATCTGTGGAATGGAAGTAGTATTTGTTGATTCAACTGCCGTTACTTGAGAAAATTAACAAATGTAAGTTAATTTGAGATGCGCTGATTGCAATATCCTTAATGATTTTTTTGCGTAACACGTTAATCCTTCCGAATTTAACAATTTCTTGATAAAATCCAAATACTGAAACCAACAAGAATAGTTTTTTTATAAGGATGAAAACTAAAAAATTTAAAACCACCTATCTTTCTCTTAATAACCGATGAATTCATTTGTAGTTAAATCACTCGTCAAAAAATGAGAGTTTGAAAGTTTAAGACTTATAATGCACATGCATAAAATACAAGCATAACATATATTAAAATGAGAATTTACATAACTTTGTATTGGTATTTATTGAATCTTTCACGTTTATCCTAATGATAACATATATCTAGATGATAATACAACAAATAAAATGCAAACACAACGCATGAGAGCTACAATTGTAATTGTAAGATGAAAGAAATAGCACACACAAGTCAATGTTTTGACATCTTAGAGGAGAAGAAGAGAGAATAGAGATGATTCTCATTTATTTATTTTTTACATTATAAACGCAGATTCTCAAAATTTCACTTCAGATTCCACATCATCTTTCTCGATTTCTACTTCAACCCTTGTACATCATTATTCTTAATAATTATGTAACATTAAATCTTTTTTTAATTAAATCCAAAATATATTAATAATAAAAAGATTAATTAGCTTATAAAATTTTGAGTTTTGGTTATAACATTGACCTATATTTAAGTTTAATTTTTATTTTATAACAATGATTAGAGAGAGTAAGTTGCAGTAAGTTTCTCAATTATTTTGAATGGTTAATATTATATCACTATTGCTATAATATATTATAGACTATAAAATTTGACTTTTTGTTACAATTACGTATTATAGAATATATTTATAATTAGTCCAAATTATTTAAGATTTTGGAAATTTCATGCAATTTATATGTAAAATTTTAAAACCTTCTTTTGTAAATAAAATAGAAAAATAAAATTAAAAAATATATTTTTTTGAATCAAAGAAAGAATATATTAATTCAAAACAAGTCAAGTACAGAAGTGGCAGAACGGTGATCCAGATGAGGATCCAACCCATCAAACAGACTCAATTACATCATAAAATTAATGAGGTGTTTTCTTCTTTTAAAATTAAAATAATTAAAAGAAGAAAAATATTAAATAGTAGCCAATACGAGGGATTACATAGGAAAAATATAATTACAAATATAAAACTAAAAAAAAGGTAAAATATTATAAAATATAATTTCAAGTCTTATTATTATTGACATCAGTGACAAAACATGTCCGACTGATTGAGCATGTCCCTTTTATTCACACTTTATTGCGAGGTGGACAATGAATTTAGATTTGCACCTTCTAATGTATCCGCCCTATTTTTTTAAGGATTTTGCGGGCACGAATATTAACATAAATTTTTTCTTTTTAAACTTCAAATGTACAATGTCCACGGGTCTGCCTTGCCCTGCCATCACTTTTAGTGTGGAGCAAGTCAAAATTTTAGACTCGCACCTTCATATATGCTTGTCCCTCTTGCGTGGTAGGCATGTCTGTTTGCCACTCCTAAGGGTTTAAGGTTTCCGAATAAAAAAAAGAAAGATATCAAAGTATTCCTTTTTTGAACATATGATAAGAGCACTCAAAGTACATGAATAAACTCTTTTGCATTTTCAAACTTGTTACCACTACTGCAACCACACTCTCACAATCGACCTAATTTAAGTAAACCACAATCTAAGACAATCTTTCTTTGAGTGATATGTTTTATGAAAATATTTTGTACTTTGATTTGTAAAACCCTTTAGACTTGGTCTTCAACCTATATTTATTCTCTGTTTGGGTTCTCTTGCTCTGTCACTCATCCCTCTTGAAATAGCGAAGCCTTCTCCAGTATTGTCAACTTTTAACTCTTTCAATATGGTTAACTTCTTAGTTATTATCTTCTTTTGGACCTCTTTTAAAGTGATATTGTCTTTCTCACTAATCGCGACTTTATGAGTCTATCGAGTGAATTATCTAACTGCAAGTATATAGTCTATCGCATAGTTTTAAAAGATATCGAACTCACAAAAACTAATAATAAATTTATTGTTATCTATTGATACTGTGTAAAGCTAAGGCTAATGAATTTTTTGTTTGAACGAAAATAAAAGGTAAAACTAAAATAAGATTAAGAAATATATCAGAAAAGAGAGACCGGAATGTGAATTTCGTGTACCTTAGAGACTCTGTAATTCATTGGCGTTAGTTTACTGTTAAATTGTTTTAAGTAGAAAATATCAGTTTAAAAACTCTATCTCACACTCTGACGCTATTGTTTAAAGCTACACTCTGTGACCATGAGATTTTGCTCTCGCTCGCCCATTTTAATTAAAAAGAATTTTTTAAAAACTAAATAAGTCCTAATTGATACCTAAAGTGCTCTCCTTTTATTTAGGATCAATGCTCAATTTTTACTATCTGGTTCAATCCTCACACTCTCGCGTTATCGACTCAAACATTTATTGTTTTCACTCTCGTGCAAAACCATTTAAATTAAAATTGAAAACTAAAGGCAGAAGATAAATTTATGAAAAGTTAACGCCAATTTTATTACCGAGTCCCGTCGGAACAACGATGTTCACATACCGGACTCAAAGAGATTTAGCCGGAAATGCTTCAAAACTTAAACATAGAAATCATGCTAATTGAATTTAAGGACAACATGATAAACAAATTAAAATGCGATAAACAGAAGTATATAAAGCAATAATATAAAGAACCTGTAAATTGGAATTAAACTGCAGAATACTTCGCGTATGACGGACGAAAACGAAATAAACTTCAACAATGCCTGCAAGATAACGATCCAAGCGTATAATAACAGAAACTTAAAACTAATGGTATGATAACCTCTCAATGCAAGAGATTATCACTTTGAATGGTAAACATTTGCTTAAAACTAAATCGGTAGAGCTTCCACGCATAAAACTTGGACGCTTAAAACCTATGAAAAATGATCTTATATAGAGGTATACTGCTCCTAATTGCCTTCCATTAGTGTAAAAGTCATGGAGAGAATGTAGGAAAGTGGGAAAGAATGAGTCAAATTCTGTTTTCCACGTTTACTGATTCTGCGCGTTCATGGCGAACGCCATGAGTTTAAGTTGAATGTGACGTGGCTGGGGTACATGGCGAACGCCATGAGTTGGTGGTGAACGCCATGCACCCGAAAAGTTCAGATTCTGTCAAAAACTCCCTTTTTTCTTGCTCTTTTCGTCGTTTTCTTGCAATGACACTCTATATTCGACAAGTACTTAAAATGTAAACATAACACGAAATAATAGTACGAAAACACGATAGAAAGACACTAAATAGCATGTGAATCGGGTCAGAATATACGATACGTTTTCACGTTATCACTTACCATAAACAAAAGTATCTCAGAAATGCTCAAGAGATCTAGATAAATTGCTCCACAAGAGTGTACACTTGTCCCACCATCAAGATTTACCTTACTATTTTACAAGTCATGAATAATTTTGTGAAATTCCGTCAATTACTCCACGATATATTTGATCTCCATTCGAAATGAGTGGATTTATTGTTTCAGACATAATCTAAGATCCAAGAAATTATTCATATAAAACGATTCAAGTTTAAACCACAACTTTAACGCGGTCTTCTCCCTTTTGAGTTCCTGTCTTCTCCCTTTTGAGTTCCTGTAAAACTTTATATGAGACATAAGATAAAGACACTTTTAGCCTTATCCACCATCCTAATTTTCTCTGCTTATGCCAGATTTGCAAAGCGTTTGAATCTGAAGTGAGACGTTTTGGAAAAATACTAGATGTTTTGTCTCGGAAGCTATGTCGTATTTAAAAAATTTCAGCATTTTTTTAAGAAGTAATTTTTAGATCGATAAACTTAAAGAGACAAAGAGATAAATTTTTATAATTTATTGTTCTAAGTCTTTAAAAGTATCTAAAATGCGTTTTTCCTCATACGCCTTGTGTTTGAGGCTGAAACAAAAGCCTTAAAGATAAGCTGTTGTGACAGAAACTAACTAAACCGATAAAAAATTAATTTGAAGTTTTTTTAGTCACAATGTTACATGCAATTTTGTGACAGAAACTAACACAAATTTTATGTATGAATTTTTTAGTATGTACCCTTGTAGTCTTAGAGCACAACTTATTATGACCCTTAAATAATATGCACATGCAATATAAGAGTAATTTGAAAAGGAGAGAATTCTAGCAAAGACCAAGACCCAAAAATGGAACATAATCTCCAAATGAATATTGAGTTTAGATTCTCTTTGCCCTCATTCTCTACCACTACTACCTCAAAAACTATCTTGTGCACCACTTGTCATCCCCATCAAGAATATGATACTCCATTCATCCAAAAGCATCTTATATTCTTCACGCCAACACCTAAATTAAGTGTTTATCAACCATCATTCACCTATTTTGATTGTTGATGCCACATAATACACAAAATCACACATACCCTTCCTCACTTGCTATATATATACCTATCTCCACATTCTCATTCTTCCCAACTCTCTTCTCTTTCTTTCCTAACCTTCAGGTTTGTCTCTCTCATTCATTTCCAACTTTTTAAGAAATCGCATTCGTTAGATGAAGATCGAACGACTCATATCTCGGATTGAAATATAACTGTCGTTTTTTTTTGCAGCTACTAAAGAGTTAATCACAAAGAAAGTTTACATGGTTGATATTCAAATCCCAAGTACATTCGATCCATTCGCGGAGGCCAAAGAATCGGATGCACCAGGTACAAAAGAGTATGTGCATATTCGCATACAACAGCGGAATGGAAAGAAGAGCCTAACCACAGTGCAAGGGCTGAAGAAGGAGTACAGCTATGAGAAGATCTTAAAAGACCTCAAGAAAGAGTTTTGTTGCAACGGAAACGTTGTCAATTGTAAGGATCTCGGCAAGATTATACAACTCCAAGGCGATCAGCGCAAGAATGTTTCGCACTTTCTTGTTCATGCTGGTCTCGTCCGAAAGGATAACATCAAGATTCATGGTTTTTGATCAAGAATAGTTCATGGTTTGTGTTTTCTACATGCATGCTTGTATTAAATAATTAAGCATAAAAATCTTACTTTATATATATATGTATAATTGATATAATCTAAATGAGAAAATCACCTTTCCTAGGTGAGTTCTTACTTTATGAGTGTTTGTCCAAAACAAATTACAAGATGACTCATCCTATGAAGCTTAGCACAAACACCGGAAACACGACACTGACATCGACACGTCGAGACCGAAAATAATTTGAAAAAATGAATATATTAAACATAATCACAAGTGTCGTGTCTGCTTCGGACACAAATACACAATTTTACAGAGATGATGGTGCTACAGAGCTCAAAATTAGACTTAAAAGAAACAAAAAAAAAAAGGAAAATATGCTATAAAAATATAGAAAACTAATCTATATTAGAAGCTTTACATGCCTATGATATGATGTATAAAACTTTTGAAAGCACTTTTCACATCTAAAGAAGTTTAAGCTTTTTTCATTAGCTGATTTTGGCTGTAAGAAACTCAAACTAGTGATATAACTGTGTGATTTAGAATAGTTTGCCTTGTTGATGAACTCCACTCCTCATCATTGTACAAAATTCTTCATAGTTGATTCTACCATCCTGAGATATACCATATCATTGAGTTTTTAGTTCTAGAACTAGAAAATGAAATGTAATCTTAGATTTGATGTTGCTAAATAATGGTGCAGCTAACAATCAGAGCCGACGGATAAAATATTATACGACTCGTATTTCATTTGAGGTAAGAATGTGAGTCGTTTGATCTTTGTTTGATGGCTCTGATTAGTTCACCGTATTATTATCCATACTAAAGCAAATCCAGGTAAGAAAACAAATAGGCTTACATTATCGGTATCAACTTCGGATATAATATCTTTGATTGTGTCTGCGTCGCCCATACCGTATTCCTTCATGGCTGTTTCCAGTTCATCTCTTGTAATAAAACTGCGATGAAATCAAACAAAAATATATCGACACACAATCCAAATAACCAAAAGAATCGCATGGAAAGCATCAGTGTTGTCGATCGTAGATCGTGAAAAATAGTGTTCATTCAAATTCAGCTACGCAATAGTATCACATAACAATAGAGATTTGTTCGAATTCCATTGAAAGTACTTACCCGCTATTGTCTTTATCGAAATGATTGAAGGCCTTGTAAAGATGTTCATCTCTTTCTAACCTGTGTCGATGCATAGTAGCAGTGATGAATTCTATGTAATCGATTGTGCCATTTCCGTCTACATCAGCCTAAATTCAACCGAAGGAATATAACTTTAGAAGAATTACCTATACGAAAAATAGAGAAGAAAATAAATGTTGTAAATCAGCAATGGCTTACAGCTTCCATAAGCTGCTGAACTTCAGCTTCGGTAAGCTTTGAGCCGAGCCTGTGCAATCCTGTTCTCAACTCCTCGTATGTGATTGTACCACTTTTGTCGGTGTCCATGTTAGTAAACATTGCCTTCAAACCTTGGATCTCTTCCGAAGAAAGATTTTCAGCAATTACCTGAGCGAGTTTTCAAAATCGATTAAGTTCTTCCGAATCGGTAAAGCTAAGCTACATATGCCACACCATAAAGTTCAACAAATTCAAAGAACTAAGAGTTATGACGATTGACGAGAACACTATGCAAATATGTGCATGTCATGTTCTCAATATGTAATTATCGACATGTCTGTTCGTGAAGATTGCAACCGGACTAACCTTGAGGGCGAGTTTTTTTAGTTTATTCATCGCTCTGAATTGCTTCATTCTAGAAAGTACCGCGCTGTCTATAGGCTTATCAGAAGCATTTCCACCTTCTTTAAGCCATGGATGCTCTAATAATCCATACAATACATAGAAAACAGGTTACTAGAGAAATTATAAAACCTTACCGAAAAAATTAACTATACTAACATTTGTCGTTTCAAAAAATACGTCCAAAAAAGCAAAAACAAAATAGAAGTGAAGTGACTTACCTAGAACCTGAGTAGCAGTGATGCGTTTCTTCGGATCTGGTATAAGCATCCTACGAACAAGGTCCTTAGCACTGTTTGATATGCTTGGCCATGGACGACTTTCGAAGTCAATACGACCTTGCAATATGGCGTCAAATATTCCCTTTTCCGTCTCTAAAACACGTATTTTATGGAAAAATTAGTCAAGGTCGGGTCTAGTAAAACGTTATTATTCCATAATGAAAAATACAAAATGAACCAGTTGATTTTACCTGCCCAAAACGGAGGCACGCCACAAAGTAAGATATATAATATAACTCCTGTACTCCATATATCTACTTCCTTCCCATATCTACGACGTAGAACTTCTGGCGCAACGTAATATGCACTACCAACTATATCTCGATATACCTTTCCTGCGAATAAATTATAAAAAAGTTCAAGTATACATCACGCGATGCAGCTGCAATATCGCGATTCACAACCGCAACCTTGCAATTGCAGTGTTTCAGTGACCACCAGAGAATCCGCATCGCAACACTACAATGCATCGGTTGCAGCAGACGATAAAATACAGCACATTACTTCCCGTGTTCATAACACTTCTTATCAGTTGCATTCATAGATCACGTTACTATCTCGACTATAAAATCAGGTTTATCAATGAAAAGAAAAAAAACCAATGAATGAGTAAAATGTTTACCTTCTTCGATGAAAACCGACAAACCGAAGTCAGTAACCTTGATAGTTGCCTTATCATCCTTACTAGACAGCAAGAAATTCTCTGGCTTCAAATCTCTATGCATAACACCCATGAAATGACAAATATGAACAACATTAACAACCTGTCTACAAATAGAAGACGCTGCTCTTTCGCTATAATGTCCTTTCGCAATAATCCTATCGAAAAGTTCGCCCCCGGCGCAAAGTTCCATAACAACATGAACTGACTTTCTATCCTCATAAGCACCTTTAAACTCAACAATGTTTGGTTGTCCACTCATATGTTGCAAGAGTTGTACCTCTCTCTTTATATCTTCCTTATCAGCTTTACTAACAAGTTTCCTCTTGGAAATCGATTTGCAAGCAAATTTCAAACCAGTTGAACTCTGTTTGCATCTATAAGTCACACCAAATTGTCCTCTCCCTAATTCTTTCCCAATTGTGTAAAATTGTTTCACATCTTCAAATTGTTTGCCTAGAATTGTGTATGTGTCTGACCTATGAGCAGGTTTTGTATTTGAGGCATGGGGACCAGGGGCTTTTGTTTTTGATTGATTCACATTGGGTTCATGATTCTTGTGATTCTGATTATGATTATTATTGTGTTTGTGATTGGGATTGGGATGACCAGAATCAACATGTCTTTGATCTGGGGCTGATTCTTTTTTGCTCAAACAAACACCCATGATTATAACACAAAATCAAAATCAAAAGATGAGATTTTTATCCGACACAAGATCAAAGCTTCAAAGTGATTAAGTGAAAATGTGAAAATGGAAAAAACCCAGATCAGAGTTCAACAAAATTATGCAGATTTATAGCTAAAAATCAAAGCTTTTGATCAAAAGGTGTAAAAAAAAGGTTGCTTTTTTATTATTTGGGTTTGAATGACCCAAAAATTGAAACATTATATAGAAGGGTTTGTGGAGAAAGGGAAAAAGTATGAAATAAACAAAACTGGAAGGAAGGAACAAGCAACATGAAACTAAGTCAAATGTTTGATTTGGATTCATGTGCAGAATATGTATTTGAAATGTTTGAGGTTATTTATGACAAGAATAATGTTGTTGGGGAAGGACATTGTCTAATGAACAAAAGTTTTGTGGAATGTTGTTATGGATTATTAAAAAAGTGATTTTGATGGTCAATAATTTTATAGATTTTTTTTTGTTGAGATGTTTAGATAAAGTGGAAATTACTTTGTAGTTTTTCTTTTATTAAATTTTTAGCTTTAAATTGTTTATTATATATATTATTTTAATATTAGCTTAATTCATATTTACTGCATAAGGAAATACATTATGAATATACTTTTGAGTCTAGCATTTTAAAAAGTCTGGTTTGTCTTTCTTCTTGTTTTATAAGAAATATCTGGTTTAACTTATAAACCTATTTTAAGGTTTATTTAGAGTTTAAAAAGTTCTATTGAACATGTTACCTACCATCATTCTCAAAAGATCAAACTTTTCCAAGATCTTCTTGACGAGAAAGTTGGTTTTGGTGATGGAAAAGGAAAATGTAATTAAAATTTAGAACTAGATAAAGAGTCTTCCCATCACATGACATATTTGTAACAAATAAAACAATGATATAGTTGATAGTGATGTCATGAGTATGATATAAGGTAGAAGTCATGCAACATGTACATTAGAAATGTGGACATACATAAAACGACAGTTTGGCAGTTGTTGGAGGTGAAGCAACAAAACGCGTGTACCAACCAGCAAGCAAGTCATGAAGGAAGTGTATCACAATGACCAAGACCGACAACTTTTGTAAACGCTACCACGTTTAATTTGCAGTGAATATCATTGAGCTTGAGCATTAATCAAGAGAAGAAACAAAACATAAAATATGTAACTCATTATACTTTTTATGATTTTTTTATTATAAGCAAAATGGATTGAATGAAAAGCATTAGGAGTGTTTAAGCCAAAGATACAAACAAAGAAAAAAAATGAATAAACCTCCAAACAAATAATAACAACCAACCCTCTTTCCAAAACTACATAAGACAAATAGCGGGATCACTATACCAATCCAACTAAGAAACACTAGAATCTATCTTATAAAACGAGTGAAACCAATCTCACGAGAGCTTCTTGATAAACTCCACACCATTGAAATTAGATAAGAGAAGATTACTAAAAAGAATATCATTCCTACATTTCCAAATGTCCCAACAAGTAGTCAAGTCAAACAACCAACCTGTATCCAAAGACCAAACCGACTTACCAAAGTTGTCCAACAAAAGAAGACACTTCAAGATAGAGTTTGTCGAAGAAACATCTTCGGTTCGAAGCCAACAACAAGTAGATCTCCACCACCTCTTGGAAATGGGACAGCTTAGAAAAAGATGCTCCAAATCCTCTTCGACACCAAAGCACAAAGGACAAACCAAAGAATGAGTGTCATTCAAAATACCACATTTCGATAACTCCATCTTAGTAAGAAGTCTATTCCAAATTAATCTCCAACCAAAAACTAAAATTATACTAGGAATTTTTTACTTCCATAAATGAGAAAGAGCTGAGGAAATAGGATCAAGCAATGGCTCCCTCGGAAAATCACCAAGAAAAATAGTACACTATGCATTAGAAATTGAAAAACCACTTGTGTGTCTCCACTAGACAAACGAATCAGCGGCCGAGCACCGTGGTTGCACTTGCCATGACCTGCTCGAGATTTGCACCATCCAGACAAAATGACCAATGCCAAAAATCACCGAACCAAACTCTCATATCTGCCACCTTAACAAAACGATTAGCCATCAAATGGTATAAATCTGGAAAAAGAGAACTAAAAGGGGTAGCGCCAATCCAACAGTCATTCCAAAACTCCAAAAAGTGACCGGAACCAAGTTTAAGAGAGATAGTAGAAGAAAACCAATTTGAAGCATGATCCGAGTCTGAAACACCAATAGAGCAAATATCCCTCCACCAAAGAGAAATCTTGCTCCTAGAACAAAAAGAAGGATGGCTAAGTATAACCCTTTTAATATCTCCGTACCTGCAAGAAAGAAGGTTAGTCCGTAAAGAATTCTCCTCATTCAAAATACGCCACTTCCATTTGCCAAGAAGAGCTAGATTGAATTTCCCATAATACTTCACACCAAGACCCCCATCTTTCTTTGAACAACAAACATTTTCCCACTTAATCCAATTCACCTTCTTCTTCTTCTTATCTCTGCCCCACAAAAAAGGATCTTTGAAGCATAATAATCTCCTTTATGACCGCTAGAGGTGCCTTATAAAAAGAGAAGAAAATGTCGGAATATTAGACAAAACAGAATTCAAGAGGACCAATCAACCACCAAAAGAAAGATGTCTATTATGTCGTCCTCCAAGTCTTCTTCTAATCTTGGAAACAATAGGACCCCAAGTGTCACATCTTCTAGGATTAATGTCCATCGAAATACCAAGGAATACAAAGGTAGAGGATCTAATATCACAATTAAGAAAAGAAGATGTTTCTTGAATAAAATCCGGAGACAAATTCACACCAATAAGTTTACTCTTATTCAAGTTGATGCGCAAACCCGAAATAAGCTCAAAACCCCGAAGGATGGATTTCCACGACCAAAGATTATCCCAATAATCCTCACAAATAAAAATGGTATCGTTTGCAAATTGAAGAATTTTAAAATGAGTTCGGTCATCAATCCGAAACCCCTTGAACTCCCCCAAAGAATAAGCCAAATCTACCATTCCTGTTAAGCCTTCCACTACCAACAAAAAAAGAAAAAGAGAAAGCAAATCCCCTTGCCGCAAGCCTCTATGAACCGAAAAGTCCCTAGTCGGAATACCATTCACGAGAATAGACATAGAACTATTAAAAACCAATGCTTCAATCCAATTTCTCCATTTATGACCAAAACCCATTCTTCTCAACAAATATCTAAGAAAATTCCAAGACACGCAATCATAAGCCTTCTCAAAATCCACCTTCACGATCATACAACTCTTCTTAAACTCTTCTTAAACCTCTTAGCATAATCTAAAAGCTCGTTGACAATTAACACTCCGCCCATCATATTTCTTTTATGAATAAAAGCGGATTGACAAACCGACACTAGCATGCCCACCACCAACCTTAGACGATTTGCAAGAAGCTTGGCAAGGATCTGGTACATACTACCTATAAGACATATAGGTTTATAGTCGTCTAAGGAAAGAGGATTCTCAATCTTGGGAATTAGAGCTAAGAAGGAAGTCGTGACCGCCTTAGGTAAAATGGCAAAAGAATGAAATTCATTAACAAAGTCCAACACCTCAAACTTCAAGAACGACCAACAAACCTTTAAAAAAGACATAGTAAACCCATCCGGTCTCGGACTCTTATCCCCATCACAATTCCAAATGACCTCTTCTACTTCCTCTTCCGAGAACGACAACTCCAAAAAAAATTGCATCCTCCACCGAAAGAGATTTGTAAGAAATACCATCCAAATGAGGTATTGAAGGAAAAGATTCCAAAAACCTCTTCTCAAAATGAGCTCTCACCTCTTCTTTAACCAAACTCACTTGGTCAATCCAACCTTGAGAAATATTCAACCCCACCATCGAATTTCTCCTTTGACGAAGCTTTAAAGACTTGTGAAAAATTTATAATTATAGTCACATTCCGCTAACCAAAAACACCTAGCCTTTTGTCGAAGCACATTCTCCTTAAAGCGCAAAAAATCCCACACCTTAGAAGAAGTCGCAACCCTATTAGCGACTAAAACATTATCCCCTACCGAATCTGGATCCGAGGCCAAAAAATCCAAGTCGTTCAAATCTTTAATAGCAGAATCCACCTCAAGATTCAAATAACCGAAAACCTTAGTATTCCACTCCCTTAAACAACCTCGCAGAAATTTCAATTTCTCCTTGAACAAAAAAATCGCTTTTTCTCTAATCTCCATCTTCCTTCATCTTTCCTCCACAAAAGGCAAGAAATCTTCATGCTCAATCCAACAATTAAAGAATTTGAACGGTTTCAGACCCCAATTAAGACTGTCGCTTTTAATCCAAATAGGGCAATGATCCGAAAAATCTCTATTTCCCACCACCTGACCCTTAACCTTCCAAGCCTCCAACAAACCATCCGAAATTAAAAATTTGTCCAGACGACTCGTGACTCTCCCATCTAAACTAAACCAGGTGAAGTTTCTACTAATTGGAGGAGGGTCACAAAGCTCTATCCTCTCAATGAAGGCATTAAAATCAACCATCTCACGTCTGTTAATCCTACGACCACAACCTTTCGGCTCAGATTCAAATATAACCGCATTAAAGTCACTCCCCAAAATCCACTCACTCGCTGAAAATCTCTTCTTGGTCTCCTCTAATTCCGACCACAAGCCCCTCTTCTTAACAGGAGAGTAAGAGGAGTAAACGTTCACAATGTATTATTTTCATTAAGGTAGATCGATGTATCAGAGCTTTGAAATAGTCGGGAGCACTAATGAGACCAATGCTCCATGATGACAAAAGATAAAGACGCCACATCTTAACCGAAAATCTTAAGTTATTAGGTAAATGAATCATCTCTCTTATAAATCCAATATTTCACTCATTTATAGACAACGTGGGACTTAAATCACTCACACTTGCACCCAATATAATCAAAGTTGTCTTTGAATGTGTGCAAAATAGACTACAATACAAAGTCTTAAATTTTTTTAGAATAAAGTTATGAAAAAATAGAACATCAGAATAAATTTATCATAGTTGAAACATGATTAAATAGAGTCTTCATATGTTTTGTCACGAAACCTATGTCATAATTTGTTTGCTGAGAGGAAAACTAAAGTTGGAGGTGCAATCGATTTGATGTTAATCAGTTTATGGTAAATGAAAAGTTTGAATTAATAATATCTCTATCATTTTGCTTTGATTCAGTTTTCAGTGTTTTTTCAAAAATGAAATTGAACCAAACTAATCGATATGATTCGATTTGATTTGGTTCGGTTGATCAATTTGAATTATTTTTTTAACGTTATATTAATTTGTGTATTCTCTAATATCGTATTTTTCAATGTATTTTTCACTATTATTTTGTTAAGTAATAATAAGAGAGATAAAATTATTTTTCACACCTCAAATACACATCAAAACTATTTTATTAGAAAAAATTTCATTAAAAAAGTATAAAAGATATAAAAAGAGAGATAAAACCTAACTAAAAAAGTATAAAAGATATAAAAAGAGGGATTAAACCTAACTAAGAGAACATGAAAAAAAGAAGACTAACTATAATCATTGATTTGATATTTCTTAAGAATTAAAACAAAAATTGAACTAAATCACTCCAACTTTTATTGGTTTTGTTCTATTTTTAAACTGAACCAGAAAATTGTTTTTTTTTCTTCTAGTTTAAACAGTTGTTTTCTGATCCACTTAAGATTACAGTGCACAAATTTGATAACAATAAATAATATGGATGGAGATTTGCATTATAATGAAATTTGTCTTGAAAAATACACAGTATTTTGTATTATTTATTAAATGTATAGAGTATACCTTAAACTTTATGTTGTGCAAAATTGTTGAGAGATTGAATAGAATGTCACTATTGAGTCCGTTTTGCACATTTATTAGACGATGCCATATAGATGCAGATAGCATTGTAAAAGAGATATGTATCTTACAAGATACACATAATGTAACTATTGAATACAGAGCATACCTTACTTATACCACACTTTTGAAAGTTAGCATACACAGAATCTACTATTGAATACATAGTATAGATTACCACATGTTGTTGAAAGTAGCAGACAAACTAAAGACATGTTATACAGGGTGTCATTTGAGAGATGCAAGAACATTGTAATTGAAAATTATACTAATACATTAAGTAGTGCGTTGTTGAAAGTCGCGGAAAAAAATTAATGTAATGTCATTCTAAATGCACTTGGTAGGAGTTCTCCATTCTACGGTTGTTGGTATACAAAGACGTTGCCTAATATAAGTTAGAAAAATGGTATTTCTACACCCTTTTCTACACCCAATATTTATATCGTATGTACTATTCACCGTATTTACACCGTATGTACTATTCACCGTATCGATACAGTGAACAGTGTTTATTTTATTAAAATAATATATTTTTTAAAAAATATTAATTTTTTTTTAAAAATATTTATTTTTAAAATTTATTTTATAACACAAATATAAGATTGCCCATTAACTAACTTCACAGTTGCATTAACCACAAAAATCTACATTATTAGCCAATTATTTTACCTATAATTTATTAACCACTTTCACTACTTCATTAACCAATAAAATACACACTATTAATCATGTTCTGAGGAATTTGTTCAAGTATTTGTGAACCGTAATTGAAGTGTAGGGTGTAGAAATGGGTGTCAACATAGTAATCCTGAATAAGTTAAACAAGAATATACAATTTTCATTTTTTTATGGTGAATTTATTTATTTTATTTTATTTGTAATAAAAGAATTTCTTAATCATTATCTTTAATATTTAGCCAGGTTACTTCAACCCTGTTTCAAATTCGTAATACCAGCGTGAAGTCCGACTGTTTCAAATCTATTTCAACATCGAAAATAACAATTAACTACCTAAAAACATCACAAATATTATTTATAATACATTTATGATTTTAATTTTGATTCAAATGATATAAAACAAAACACCTAAAATTAAAATTTTTAAAAACTTGCATGTTACATTTCCATTGTGTTAAAGACTTTTGCATTGTGTTGTGGTTGGTTGATGGAATTTGCCGAAGAAATTTAAAGTTGACCCACAATAAGTTTGACCTTGATTTAGATCTTGCCAAGTTGAGTGTGTTCATCATCTTCGATTATATCTTATTAACAATTTTTTTTGAAAATCACCAAATTAACAAATTAATTCACAAATTATATATCGATGGAACCGGTGTTTCACTGCGATTTCAAGTATGTACTCAAAATTGCAAAACAAGTCGTGAATTTGATAGATTAAAGAAAAAATGTGGCGTAAAAATCGAACACAAACACGTTCGATCCGACTTGGTTATGAGGTTTTTATGAAAAACTAACTATAGAATCATGTTCGTGGCGAAGTTCTGCTTCTAATGGCGTATTCATTTGTTTGAAACAATTAAGAATCATGATTTTGACATTTCTGTTTTCTTGAGTCCATAACAGTTTTTGAACAAATTTTTTGAAAATCTTAATTAAACGTGTTATCATGCAGTTAATGATTAATCTAGATATTTAAGGATGTACAAGATGAACATGAAAATCTGGATTTAGATGAGAAGATGAAAATTAAATATTTTGATTTATGAAATACACAGAGGCTACATAGTAATGGTGTGCACCATATAATCCTTCGTGACAATGACTAAGTCAACACTATTTTTTGATTGAACAAATTTATGACTTCACCAAAAAAGTTAATTTGATGA